GAAAATGAATTAGCAACAAGAGTTTACGGGATGTACATAGCTCAGTGGTTAACGCTTCTGACTTTGAACATCGAATACGCAGGTTCGATCCCTGCTGAAGTCTAGAAAAAAGAAGTCTGATGAGGGGATGTGGTGATCTCCGAAATAGTGCTATAACTTACTCTACCGCTTAAACTTTGTTGCTTTTTCAATTTTTCCTAATAAACAATCGTGGTACAAAGCTCAATAAAAATATTAAAAATAAAAGGTTAACAAGCCACAGTAACATTGACGAAAATTAATGTATTTTCCTGCAGAAAACGTACAGTTTTATCTAAAGTTTATTAAAATTACGCCTTAAAATACTAGTTTGTGGTTGAAATATTGGAAGGGAACAGAGAAATTGAGTGTTTTACTGGATATAGAGAAATAATTGCAACTTTTCACTTGGCTGGCCGAGATTTCTTCAATTTTACATTTTAGAATTTTTGTGTCGGATTGACAAAGGTGCGCTTGAGGGGATGCATTTGCGGGGAGATGTGCTGCTGTAGTATTTATGAATGGAATGATCTTGACCTTGAGAAATATGCGAATGCGTTTATGAATGAGTTATTGCTGAATTTGAGTATATGTACGTGTAATTATGTATGTGTGTATGTATGCTGCCGTGAGTTGTACATATGTACATTTGCATATATGTGTCAATTAATGTAGCATGTATGTACATATAGATAGATATACATATGTATGTATGCTTGGGAAATGCATTTTCATTAGACTCCAAAACTATTGCGGCATTTTCGTAGACGAAATAAAGTCGACTGTTCCCTGCAAAAAGTGGGACTAGGTTAAACACTAGTACGGGACCACGCTACCTTGTAACCAACACTAGTAACTAAAATGGTCCAAATATATGGAAAAAATATGGTAACATTAACATTGCGATGTTATTGGACCTGACCACCTCTGGTCCAACGCTGCATAACATGGAACCAGTTCTGATCCACCACTGCATAATATGGGACCACCTTAGGGTTGCCAGATTTTTTATGCTGGAAATCAGTACTTTAGACTTTTTCATGCTAAAAAAATCAGTACTTTTCAGTACACTTTTATTCAAAGCGAAATTATGAATGTAAATAACAGATGCTACTTTAAAAGGTCAGTGTGCTTATTTTTAACAATATTTTAGTATATAATATATATAGTTCATAAAAAATTAAAATGTTATTCATTTTAACATGAGCGTACACTAGGGTTGGCCCAAAATGCATGTGAAAAAGTAAAGTCGCAATTTTTGTGCGCTCACCCCCCATTATTGTTCTATACCGACAAAAATATACCCTAATCTTTTTATTTTGAAATCAAAAAATATTTAGAGGTCGCTCAAAGCGCCTAAAAGTTTCCATGTATTTTAAAAGGGGCAAAAATAACTTTTTGTTGATTGCAACTATAATTTATAGGTCCGCCGAAAACCCACAAAAACCCCGAAAATTGCAATGGGGCGACCAATAAAAATCGTTAGTATTAAAAAATGGTTAAATAGACAATTTATTATTATTTTTGAAAGTCTCCTGAAGAGAACCAGAGTTTTCCGATCGAAAAATATTGACTTTCAAGAATTCTATACCATTTCTACGACAAAATCTATTTTTCCTATATAAAAACTCACGCAAAACTACGAGCCCTTTGAGCGACCTCTAAATATTTTTTGATTTCAAAATAAACAAGTAAGAAAGTCTAAGTTCGGGCGAAGCCGAACATTAAATACCCGGCGCAAGTATTAATTATATGTTTTTCACCTTTCCGCAAGCTACCGCTACATGGTAAGCCGGGGTGTATCAATTTTGAGTAAGTTAGCGTCCTTAAATTTCGAAATATTGAAATTTCAAGCATTTCGGAAATTTATTGTTATATGAAAAGCGGCCGTAATATTAGGCCGATTTCACCAATTTTCAACGCTTTGCTTTTATGTGGCAAGCACAATAACCATACCGAGTTTGGTACAAATAGGTAGAACGGTTACCGAGATACATATATGTGATCATAAGTGGGCGGTGCCACGCCCATTTTCCAAAATTTTACCATAAACGTACCTTTTGGTAAATGATGGTTGCAAGCGTCAATTTTGAATAAATTAGCTTTAATATTTACTGATTTATCGAAGATTTCGTATTTCTCTAAATTACCCCTATATGGAATGTGGGTGTGGTTATTGTCCGATTTTTTAAATTTTTGGCCATTTGGTATGCTGTACCAAAGCCAACAATTGTGCCAAGTTTGGAAGAAATCGGTACAGCGGTTGCCAAGATATACACATGTAACCATAAGTGGGCGTGGCTAAGCCCATTTTTCAAAAATGTATAATTTTCTTATTTTTTGTCTCAAAATTATTATAAATATCAATTTTGAGTGAATAATCTTTAGTAGTTACTAAAATATCGCAGTTTTCGTATTTCTGAAAATTACCGTTATATGGCGTCCGTCCGTCCGTCCGCCCGTCTGTGCACACGATAACTCGAGTAAAAATTAGAGATATCTTAACAGAAACTTGGACGTGAACTTCTTTCGGGCGTAGGGACGGATGGTATTGAAAATGGGCGAAATCGGA